TCTGAGTTGACAAATGAGTGCGCCATGTATGCCTGTGAATATGTACCTGTATATCTCCCGCATACGTCGAAATAAGTACGACAGAAAATGTATGTATGTATGTCGGCATGTAGGTATAAGTACCAAAGGAGCCGATTGAAGATTTGCGAAGACAGTTTTGCACTCAACTGGCAGGGCCATCTCAGGCGAGGTGCTTCAGATCTATCTTGCGGACTTTGCAGCCTTTCTGGAGTGAGGTGACCCGCTAAACCTTTCTTGCGATGAGCAAGCAGAAGGCCCGGAAAACGGCTGGCGTACTGTTGATGATATATAACCTGCATTGCCTTAAGGACCCAGATTCCTATGGGTACTGCAGGATCGATATCATCAACCGTATCTCCGGTCCTTCCGATACCTCTGCAGCTGCGGGCAGCAAGGCCAGGAGAAACAGCTGAACAACGGCCATGGGGGCTCCTGGAGGCTGCGGACTTCCAAGGCTCGGCTTTCACCTCAAACAATCTTAACATATATAAATATATATATATATACTGTATATAAGACTATAAACTATGTGTAATATTGTATGCTTGATTGCGAAGAATTCATCCGTCCGACACGCCTTACTGCCACTGCTGTTGCCGCAAATGGCTCAGCAAAACAAACGGTGTGGGGGGAAGTTCGGAGCTTCATCTCAGATCATGGTAGAGTCTTCCAGTTGAAGGTCGCAAACTCGAACAACCGATAGCAAAGCGACTTCCAAACAATGAACATACGGTTTTGCCAACACGAAGAAACAACTGGGGCCCATCCCCTTGCACCATCAGTCCCTTGAAAAGGAACACAAGAGAACTTGTGCTGTAAAGGTAGGACTTACCTAGGATGATACGCTCTGTTCTTGAAGGGAGCCAAGTACCTGCGTGTGACACTGGTGCAATTGATGTTTCTTCAACTGCCCTAAACCCAAAACCCTAAGCCCTAAACCCAAAAGCCTAAACCCTAAAGCCATCCCTGAAAGGAGAGTTCAGTCGTGGCTGCAGGGTTTAGGGTTTTAGGGCTAACTTTCAAGGCTTCCAAATGATCACGGAAAAAATCAAGATGTGCATTGATTTTTTCTTACATCCGCCGATGCCAGAGTCTTCGACACCGGGCTCTGTATCCCTGTATAGATCTTGAGGAAACGCATTTCTGAGACTGCTGTGGGACCTGACGGTGCCGCATCTACCAGGGCTTGTGATATGGAGTTTAAAATATGGGCCTTCATAATTCGAATAGGGTTTTGGGGACGATTTTTCGATAATTATATTAAGGAACCCCCAAAATAGTATTGGCAATTATTCAAGCCCCTGTAGTAGGGGACTCCGGGATTAGTCTCACGCGAAACTTGAAATCAGAATACCTGGAATAACAGGTCTCGCAGGTCTCATCTTGTGATATGGGAGACTCCGAAAATTAGGGGCACCTTGTGTAAGTGTCCTGTTTGTCAGAATCTCACGATTTAGGGAAGTATAAGTAGGGTCCCCCCATTTTCGGAAACTCCCATGCATATGGTCAACGCCAGATGAGCCAGTGGGATCCCAATCCACATGGCAGACTTGGGCAGGCTTGCTGCTACAACGCGTGGACCATCAACCCCGTCTCTGGCATCCTAAAACCTTTTTCAGCACGCTAAAACCTAAACCCTAAACCCCGGACCCCGAGATGTAGCAGCAAAGCGCAGCATTCAAGGAGGCCGCATAGGATTACGCTCAAGCTGAAACTGCATGTTCATTCCCGGCCGGTAATCAGAGTATATAGCGATATGACCAGAATAGACAGACATCTGCAGCCTCTGCGACTCCTTGTAGTGTTACAGGGAAAGGCATCGAGAAGAGTCCGATCTGCACATGGCACAAGTTGGAGGAGCAACTTTATCCGAAAGCCTAAAGCAAACTGTCGGGTGCCCCTTTACACATAGCAATATTTAGGGCATTTACTTCTATCATTCCGTGCCAAGCGAGACTTTTCCCAGAAGCAACATGCGAGGTGTCCTGAGACCTTCGGAAGATATGGGGGGGCTCGTAAAACGTTATGGACATATGGGCGGTTGAGGTTTGGAGGGCTGAGGGTGTCAGCTTCTTTGCGGCATCTTGCCAAAGGCCTGTCGACACGTTGGCATGTGATTCAGGATGCTTGGAAGGGAGCCCAGAATCTATGACACTCTGTGACACTTTAACACCATATATATATATATATATATTTATTTATTTATTTATTTATATTTATATTTATCAAGCTTGGCACTCAAAATCCCCCTGAACCCTAAAGGCATTTCAAGGTCCCCTTCTTCGTGAAACCCCCTTCTGTGCCTCGCTCATTTCAGAGTCCATCTTCTCAGGCTGGTTCTTGGTAGTTGTTTCGTGATTTTAATCGAGGTTTCTTCAAGGGTTAAGGGTTTGAGGGTTTCGGCACTCACAGGCTTAGGGTTTGGTGTTTCGATGGTTATCTGACAGACCCAAGAAATGGAGCGAGCATTGCACGTCATCTCCCCGGCGGGAGCTTCTGTTGGCCGGGTTCCCACTGCCAGGCACCGTTCAGCCGGCGGCAGAGGAGGAGGTCGTTGGGCATAACCGTCACGCGCTTGCAGTGTACTGCACAGACATTCATGTCCTCAAAAAGTCCCACAAGCATGGCTTCGCAGGCCTCTTGCAGTGCCAGGAGTCCCTGAGTGTCCATGCGATACCTCTTCGGAGGCTCCCAGTCATCCGTAGGCTCCTGCAGCTCTGGTGCAGCTCGACGGCGCTCCGCTCGTCCTTGCTGCCACTCCTCGTACCTTTCGCTGGACATTGCATCGCAGATGTCGCGCACCACCCGCTGAAACCGGAGCTTCGGTATCTGCAAGCTATGAGTCTGCTGGTAGTGCCGGATCTGGATCAAAGCCGACTCGGACTGGCTAAGATGCTTGAAAGCTCTGCCTTGCTCCTCACAGCTCTTCCTTTCTCGCTCTTTGGCTTCATCGAGCTGCTCTTTCAGCGTGCCAGGCTCCTTTCTTCGTCGAGGCTTCGAGTGAGATGACGGCCCTGGGGTTTCTTCCTCTGGAGCTTCAGCTGCAGCTTTGCGCTTCGACGATCGGACCATCCGCCGAGATGCGCGTTGGAGCGCCAGGGATGGCTGTCTATCAGGATGCAGGGTTCAGACTTGCTGTCTATGAAGAATGAGGGTTTAGGACCTAGGAGTGGTTCCCGTGAGGCTTTAACGTCGGTGTGCTGTCATGATATCCGGCATTCAACAATCATGCGGATCAGCAGTCTTGGTCGTCTGTGCAATTTGCTTTGCCAATTGTGCGTCGGAAGTTGCTTAAACGACGCCGTGACAAACCTGTGCTAACATATCCACGCTGTAGAGGCCACTTGGGAACGGCAGTCCGTACATACTTCTGTATTGGCATACATCGCAAGTGAATCCCCCTACGACATCAATGCTGCATCTCCTGGAACCAAATATCGCGGGGAGAGATCGATGGAAGCTCGCGAGATGTCTTGTTTCCTTTCAGTTATTACACCATCATAAACACATGAGCATGAGACTGCCTGGATCCCCCTCGCTCCTGTTTGCTCCTTCTCGGGAAAAGGGGAACGAGGCGAAGGGAACCCTAAGCTGCGCGCTGCGCTGCTGTAGCCAAAAATCGCTGCACCATGCACGGCCTGTCGGGAAAGGAGATGGATTAATCGCAAACGGGGTCTCGCGTCCAGTGGGCAGCAAATCTTGCATTCGACTCCAGTCTTTTCATCTTCGCTGATGTCCAGCGTGCCAGACTATAGCTGTTGATTCCGCGTATGATGCTGGCACCCAGCAAGCCTGTCTTGATCACAGGGCGAAATTCCTCGCTTGAAGATTCTCTGTATATTGGCCTCGTGTGTCTCTCTCTGCTTATGACCACTCATAACATCAAGAAGGGCCGCACTATACTATACTATACTATACTATACGACACTTTCATGCTATACCATACTATATGATGCTATACTATCGAGATGGTACGGAGAACCTCCAAGTTCTTTGTGTCACTGATGGCCGCGAAGCCCTCAGCCAAACTGAGTTATGTATGTAGACGGCGATGAACCGAAGTTCGGTACATAGTATCATCATTAGTAGAGATGAGTATATAGTATATAGTGTGTATATATATATATATATGTGGAAATAAAGATAGTATAGAGTATAGAGATATACATTTCATATAGGGTTTAAGGCTCCCGCACGGCGTTTGTGGTCTAGATTTCTGGGCTTGTCTTGTGCACATGGGCCGCGATGTGACAGTCGTGCGAGCCGCCTGGCTGCAGGCGACCCGGGAAAAGCGCCGAGAAGCGCTCACAAATATTTTCTGTACCACTTGAAGGCTCTAGACTCTATACGGGTCCCATATCCTAAACACTCTGTTGAACCTAGTCTTCATTGTCAGCTGATAGCCTAAGCCCGGGGTTCTCTTCGAGGTCCCGGCAACTGGCGGAGCAGTTTCGAAGCATCAGACGCCAGCTGCCCTCACATCGCGCGCGACCACTTCCTGAGCCACAGTTTAGGGTTTTTAGGGTTTTGGGTTTAGGGTTTTAGGGTTTAGGGGTCCGAATGCCCAAACAAAGCCACCAAGTCTTCCGCGCTTCGGATCAACTTAAGGCAGTCGGGTGCAAGTGTTCCGTAGAGTTCGGATTTGGGAGCTGCAGCTGAAATTTGCCTTTACCATGGGAGGCTCCACTGTGTCGATGGCCCTTCATGCCAGCCACCGAAGTCTACCAACGGAGAGTCTATGAGGCAACTGCAGTTCTCCCCAACCCAACCCCAGCATCTCCACAACATCTCAACCCTAAATCCCACTAGCCCTGAACCTTTAAACCACTGAACATGCCTGAATCAAGCCCTATAAACATCCCAGCAACCCCCTAACCCTTTAAACCACTCAACATCCCTGAATCAAGCCCTATAAGCACCCCTTATACCCCAAGCCCTCCAGAAAGACGGGGGGCGCCTGCCCGCAGCAGCCGCGCACTTCAGAGCCCCAGCTCCGAAAGAGCAGCCGCGGCGCCTTTGGACTCGAGGGCTTTTCTTGCAGGGTCTCAGGCGAGCCCGCTGAGGTTTTGGGGGTTTTTCCTGATATGTCTGCAAGCGAGGTTTGGGGTTTGGGGCTTCAAGCTTTTTTCGCCTCCTGCTTTAAGGTTTAGGGCTTTTTTGGGGGGGGTTCGGGTTTCGACCCGCGAGCTCGCTGACAGCAGGCAGGGTTCGGTGGTTTCCGGTTTGGGGTTTAAGGCTTTCGGAATTCGGCACTCACAACCCGGACAATCCAGGCCAATCACTTGTCTGTTGGTCGGCTTGGTGAGACTAGAGCGGGGGCTTTTGCTTGCTTCTCCCTTTAAACATGTATTCGGCCGCCCCTCTTGCACTCTCGAGATCAAGAGCTCAATCTCGGCAAAAGGCGAGTTCTATGTTGCTGAAGTATAAAGCATCATATATAAGGCAAACAGCCAAGAACCCTGCAGCAACAACAAAACCTCCACGTTGCCACAGCACTCATGGAGGAAATCAATTGCAATACTCTCGCTCGCACTGTCTTTTTTCTCTGCTTCTCTTCTGAGTTTTGCATGATTCATGTCTAGCTTCCCCCTCCTGTCCTGTTCTGGTTGTTATGTTGTCCCGGCTCTCTCGCACTTTGTCTTGGATTCTTTAGTTGTGCTCCCTAGTTTGGAGAGCCAATGCTGTTGATTCCCAATTCCCACCATGCCGACTTGCAAAGAAGCGATGAGCTACCGAGTGCATGTTGCTGGGGATGGTCGGTTATGCGGCGAGTATAGCGGAGCCAGCAGACCACGAATGAAGGGGGTTCTTGATTCGACTGGTGGGTAGTGTTCAGACCCCATCTGTTACGCGGCTTGACATGGGGGTTTCCGAAAAAAGGGGACCCTGATGTAGTACTGTAATTATTAGGATCCTCATTATAAGGACACCAAAATGCGCGGTACCCCTAATTTTCGGAAACTCCCACACTGGAAAACAACTCGCGAGCGCGGCCTTCTGGAGGAAGCTCAGAGGCATCCCGCACCTTTGACCCAACACACGCACGAGCTCATAAATGCTATAGTGCACTTAAACACGTATTAGTTTCCCTCTGGCTGTGCCGAGAAATAAGTAAATCTACTTGTTTCCTACATTGCATTACATTATATTGCAGTATACTGCTTTAACTCACATTGCTTCACACTATCCTATATAGCATCATACTATGTCATTACTTAACATTGTCTTATCTTACATTACAACTTGCTGCATTAGACTGTAGATTACACCATATAATGTTATGTTATATTATGCTATATTGCGTTTTGCAATCTATAGCTTGTTTATTGCATATAAATCATTATACTACAACATTACATCGTGTATACCTGATATGGGCTTGTACTATAGTACATTACACCCATTTTGTATGCAGTGATATAGTTACAAGAAAGCGGTATTGTGTTACATTATATTGCCGTATACTACAGCGCACGAAAAACTGCTATATCACTCAGCATCCCATCCTATTATATCCTATTTTGATCTGCTGCAACACATTATGTTGCATCGCATCTGATTCTAAGCTGCTGTTGTGTAGACGCTGTTTTATGTTATGTTGTATTTATTGAGTTCTAGTCTGGTTTGTTCTGTTCCATTCCGGTCTCTTCTGCTATGATGTGCCCTATTATATTACTGGGACATCAATCACACAAGGCACAAGGAGAGTGACGTAGCATCCTGTGCCGGCGACCTGCCCCATCCCATTGCCCCATCCCATCCCGCCTCCTTCTTGGCCAGCAAACCCCTGCCACTGGCTGAACAGTTGGTGCGCCATGTGTTCTGCGTGCGTGCGTGCGTTTATGTATGTATGTAGGTACGCAATTAGGTGGGTAGGCAGGTAGGTTGGCATGTATGTAGTTTGGCATGTGCCTCAAGAGCCGTCCGTACTGATAACACTCAAGCTGCCAGTGGTAGCGAAAAACCCACGATGAAGCAGGAGTATGCACACATTGATAGCTATGCGATATGTGTAAGTTTTTTCAGCAGTTCGAACGGCTCGATCATGGACAAACAAAGACTACTGGTACTAAGTCTGGCAATTCCATGCAGTAGCACAAGAGTATTTATGGAATTTATGGTATTATATAAGAATAGGCATGGCCACACAATCTGCGCGCGAGATACTGCTGATAGCGACATGTTGAACAACGGTGATGAGCATCATCCCGTTGAGAAGCTGAAACCTGTGATGCTAGCAGCGAAAGTTACTGTAGCAAGGATGTCGGAGGCCCCTGTTGCAAGGATGAAGGATGATTCGGAGATTCAGCACACAGAGGATGCTTAAAATGGCAAAGGAAGGCAATCCTGGAAGTCGGAGCTTCACCTCGACTTCGGGCTTGCTTCGGTTGTCATGCTCCAAACTGGCCTACGAACACCAACACACCCAGTCAGCAGATGCCTCATCGTTGCATCTCCCACCTTGGAACTGGTCTATTACAATAGGGTCTTGAGGTCTATTTTCGTGCAGTAATCCTTCTTTGCGAACTATAATTTGGGATTGTGCATTATTCAACCCATTCGTAACCTCGATGCTTGTTCCGCGGATGGCAAAAAAAAAGCTTCTCGGCCCGGGCAGAAAGCAGATTCTGCACAACAACCCCATAGCCCTAACTGCCCAAACCCTGAACCCTAAAATCCCGAACCCCGTTTTTGTTGAACGAGGTCTCTTTGAAGTGCCTAGCCCCTACTCATACTCGTAAACCCCAAACCCAGCACGCTAAACTCCCCCAACCCAAAGTTTGGGGCGGCAACCTGAGTCTGAGCCCCGACGGGTGAGATCTGAGTGCAGAGCTTTGGCCTTCTTTGCGGCTTTCTGCAACTTCGCGTTGGACTCAGCACACTGAAGGATTCTTGCCAGTATCTTACATTCTGCTGTACATGACATTTGGTTCGTGGCACATGTTATTGTACATCGTGAATTGTGCCCTGTATACCACATATTATGCACCATACACCGTGCCGTGTATATATATATATATATGTATGTGTAGACTCATTACACGTGGCATATTGCATCGTGTACATGGCACACCGTCTATAATAACATACCTCTGAATCATACCAGAGGTAACACATTTATAGTATTCAGCATGAAGTCTACAGCAGATATGGTACATTCTATGATGTCTGCTATATACATACATGAGAGAAAGAGAAAGAAAGAGAGAGAGAGAGAGAGAGAGAGAGAGAGACAGAGAGAGAGAGAAAGAGAGAGAGCGGAAGAAAGACATATAATCATATACCATTGTATCCTGTAGCTCTTGGTAGTGCACTATTAGGGCACCACAGTGCGGTAGGAGCTTTCCAACCGTAGGCCCGCCACTGGCTCGGATTTGGGGCCCATGGCCGGCGATGGCACCGGTTTCACCTGCGGCCGTCCGAGCTCTCTGCAGAACGCTCCGTCCAGCTACCTGGGAACTTGGAAGTATCTCTTCTCAGTACAAACAGGTTGCGCTGGGATATGGGCAAAGCTCAGTGAAGTCTTGGAGTGTTAGTGTTCGTTGAAGGGACAGCAGCATTTCAAAACCACTCGCATGCTACCGTAGGCCTTGGGGGAGGTCTCTGCAGCTGCTTTGGCGGCCTGCATAACCTGCAGCGAGGCGGAGCCCCGGCTGAGAATGAGTAGCTTCATGAAAGACGACTCGATGGACGACTTCCGGACGAAGCGGGCTAAATCGAAGAGACAAGTCGCTATCCGTCGAAGCTACTAGGGCAAGGTGCTCCGAAAAGGCAGGCAGGGGCCGAGGAGGTACTTGTAGGTACTAGAAAGCTTTCAACTGACTCCCTCTACCGCCTGCAGCACTTTTCGCGAGATGATCCTTGACAGTCCATGGTGGGCAGGATAGGGCTTAACACGGGATATTGCGGCGAACTTCACAGTTTGTAAGCAAACAAGAAGCCCAGAATGAGGACCGACACCTTCCGAGCACACCACACTCCCAGGCCACCCCCTGCCGACTGCCTGGTTACAATACCAATCTCGGACGAAGTTTTGGTCCTAAGTAGGACCTCTGCTCGAACCTCCCGGTGTAAGGTAGCTGAAGAAACATCCGAACCGACACTTCTTCCCTTCCGGAGAGCCTCCTTTGGCATCTGCACGGTCCTGGGTCTGTGGCAATGCAGCGCATGCAGGAGGCATCGGCAGCTATCATCATCTACATGACGCAGTGGTGTGGTACAGTAGTCCTCCAGCATGGGACATAGGATAATGAGAGATCCAGAAATGAAAAGTCGAGGCAAGCAGCCGTTCCTAGAGAGGCTGTCGTCCAAGGCTGCAAGATCTAGGAGCCTGGCACTGTGAAGCGCCCTTGCCGCACCTGCTTCACACGATAGAGGAATTAGTGTGGGGGCCTTAATAATTAGAATAGGGTTTTGGGGCCCATTATAATTAATATAACCATGGTAAGGAACCCCCAAAACAGTATAGGTAATTATTAAGGCCCCTGAATTACTTGAAAGCTCTTACGGTCCAGGGGCTCGAGGTTGAGGCTCGAAAGGCTGAGGGTTTCGGGCCAACTTCCGAACCCATGGCAAGAAACCCACCGCCCGAAGCTTCCCACTTGTCATACATCGAGGGTGTACAGCCTCAAGAATACACTCACTCTGTGCTGCCATTCCGCCCCTCCGAATGTGAAACTCACAATACACTACTGTCACATTCCATTGCCCGGGGCGATCAGAACACCGCTGCCGATGTATCTGACTGCCTCCTTCTTTTGGCGTCTGTTCTGTGGCTGAAAGCCTAGGTCGGCCTGCTACTTACGGAACCAGGGCGGCCCTCTACATATACGTCTACACGGTATACGCGACTCAGTCAGGGGCCGGAAGACGGCGACGCAGCTCTTCCAGCGGCTTCTTCATGTCCAATTCCTGGAGAGACAACATGACTGTGATTGATAGACGCGCATTAAGAACTTGTTTGGATAGTTTGTTTGGAATAGGTTTTCAAAGTATGTTATGGTAATTCTGTATTCGGGAACTCTTTCTCCTGGCCTTGCAGCTTGAAGGAGACATAGTTGTACACGTCAAATGCCATGTCACGAGGTATAAGCGTGGAGGTCTTAATTAGAAACGGGATTTGTGATACATTATACTATATTTGTAGCAAGGAGCCCCCAAACTAGTATGAGTAATTCTGAACGCCCCTCTATCCCTAAATCCCTTATGGAACCCTTGTAATATCCCTTTGAAGGAACCCTTATAATTATAAAGGCCCCTACATTACCGGCTGATAGACCCTGCAGGAAATCGCGGGGACTTGCAGGTCCTTCTCGGCGGAGCCCAGCACGCGAGCCTGCTGCGGCCGGCTGGAAAAACCCAGCGTCGCTCGGTCCGAAGCTTGCAGAGTAGCCCCTTAATAGTAGGGGTTTAAGGTTTAAGGTTTACGCTCTCGCAACTCGGGCAAGCCAGACGAGGTCTCGGGTGCGAGGGCCTAGGGTTTAGGGTTCATCATCAGGGTTTGTGCTCTCGTAACTCGGACAAGCCAGACGAGGTCTTAATAAGAACACATTCGGACAAACAGGGTTTCGGCGCTCACACTCGGACAATCCAGGCGAGGCATGTAGGTTCGGAGTCATACTAAGTGAGACGTCACTAAGAGGAGGTGTCAGGGTTCAGAAGAAGGGTACCCTTTGTCCCAACATTCAGGTTTAATCAAGGGACCCGGAAAGAATGGCTTTGCAGGCACTTCGCCAACTTTGCTTATAGCTAATCAGCATCTAGACGTGGCGCAATCCAGGAAGCAAGAACGGCTCCCTGTCCTTTCTTTTCCCGGCACAGCTCCCACCTTCATTCGTGCAAAGCTGTTACAAGTTGAAGTTGCGATGCTGTTGAACCCCTGCATCCTGCACAGTGGTGAAACCTGGTCCCTGGCTCATTGCCACAGAGACGCTGCGGGAACTGCTAGACTAGACTCTTAGACCATCTCCAGAGGTGGTGCTGCCTTCCGCTTAGCTCGGCCTTTCGCCAGTTTCAGTCGCTTCGATCGCAGCCGAGGCACTTTGGCCTCTGAGGCGCAGGTCGGTCTAAAGCACTTCTTTTGCATAGCGGCCGCCTTTGGACGCACGTATGTGACGCAGATGTCGTCATTAGGCGTGTCAGAAACGTCGCCAGCAACCTCGAGCACCTCCTCCTCCTCCTTCGTCTCCTCTTGCTCGCTTGTCTCTGCCGCCGGTGCTGGCACCGCTTCCTCGATTCTTGTTAAGGCATTTAAGTTCAATTACCATAATAGGGACCTATACTAAATACATAAGGAAACCACATTATTTACTATAGATCCCTATTATGGTAACTTAATATAAAACTACTATAGATCCCTATTATGGTAACTTAATATGAGTATAAAACCCCTTCAGGAGAGCCCAGCTTCGGCCTTTTTTCTCGCGACTCGCTGACGCTTCGAAGGGACGGCGATGTCTTGGACCGGCTCCATCTCCGAGCCTCGCCGGGGGGTTTCTATCCAACAAAAAGGAGCATCGGGTTTTGGGGCATACTGTGCTATAGCTATTTCTATAAGAAGTCTATAGTTATAATAAGGACCCGGGCTTGTGGGGTATGTTATGCTATAGTTAATGATGAGGAACCCGAACATGTCTTACTGCTCTGGGCCAGGGTGTATGTCCTGTCGACTAGAAGCCTGCACAGCAGAATTGACTTGGCAGGGCAGTGCGTAAATGTGCACAAGAGCTTGCTGTATACGAGCTTGTGCCAGGTTTCGCTATACGGAGTCCGACCACCAAAGATGTCAGGAGACCTCTCAGCTCTAGCTCTTGCACACCTCACCCCAAGAGTAAGGAAGCCAGAGGCAACGCGGCAGCTGTCACTGTAAGCAACTGTCAACCACACACTTCGCGCCTTCCCAGCCGTTCTGAGCTCCCTTCATCATCTTCAACCTGTCGTGGCAAGCATGACTTGTAAGTGCGTTTAGATTCTCGCATGCCTCAGCGTGTACGTTATGGTACGTTCCTTGCCTTGCTGTGCGCTGACTGTTGTGAGCCGCCAAGAGCCTTTTAACCCCACCAAGTACATGCAGTGCATCCAAGCTGAGCGTCCCCGTCTGTGCTCTGCCAGGAGTGTCTGTCGCACAAACGAAGAGAGCTTTAATGCTCATTTCAAAGCCGACCGAACGAGTTCACGTTCCTCGTAGCAGGAAGCCGTATCTAAGGCAAGCCGTAGCGCGAGAAGTCAATCCGATAATCGCTGACACCACTCCTCAGCCTTCATGTAGCGCTCATGAATAGCATAGGTTTGGGGGTTATAATTTTAGCCTGTATGGTTACGAAAGAGCGCCAACTAGTAACTACTCAGGCTGCTGTGTTTGGCCATGCAGGCTTCAGGCCGTGGTCATGTAAAGGCGCCTCATCTCGTTGATGCGGCTGAGATGGCGGTCCTGTAGATTGAACACGAAACCCTCTACAAGTGATGAAGCGGTTAAGGCGGTTACGGGGTTTCGACTTTATGAACCCTGTTACAACTGTGGCCTTTGCCCCAAACGCATAGGGGTTTGTAGGGGTTTAGAGGGCATGGGAGAAGCATTCTTCACCTATACTCGGACAAGGCATCGCTCCGCTGGCGTCAGATATTCTGCTCGGCCCGTGCTGCATTCAAGGAGCTCGTGATGGCTATTCATGACATGTCATGTGCATGGTAGCGCGGGTGTTACGCCTTACACCACGAATCAGCGGCACTTGTCACCCATGCTTTAGGGCGCTCTGAAGAAAACCTCTTTGGGAGCGAGACATGACAGAGGACGGTACACCCGGCTTAAGTTCCGAGTCGTCTGAGACTTGACAGTCTTGAGTCTTGACGACTTCGGAAGCAACAGCACTACAACGGTTGTCAGATCACAAAAGTCACGAGTACGGTGGTCCCTCTTTCTTGCTGTCCCTTCATCTGCTCTACTCTTACTACGTGCAGCAGGGTATGGACTCTCGCTCTCTCTGTCATAGATAGATCGATAGATAGATACATAATACGTGTAGCATACATACATACATACATACATACATACATACCTACATACATACCTACATACATATATATATATATATGTATATATACCAGATATTTTCATATTATTTGTGTCAAGCATATATAAACACAGCTCTTGTTTCCTATATCTCTCTTTTATATGGCTCTACATACTATACTCAAGCTTTCAAAACACAGCTAAACCCTGAACCCCTAAACCCTAAACGAGAGAGTTCTAGCCGAGGCTCTGCCCTCTTGTCGTCCGTTGTAAGCCTCCCCGATTCGTCCTTCCATGAGCTTCCCAACGTAAGGGCGAGCGATCCTTAAGGGTTCCTTCAAAGGGATCCATAAGGGATCTGTAGGGCTTCCTTTAAGGGGCTTAGGATGGAGGGCGGGCCAACTTAACTTGTGATGTCCCTCTCGCATCAGCTGACCCACACCTTCTGGCAACTGTGACGACATGAAAGCTCTCAAACGACTTTGCCGGTCTGTCACTAATCCAATTTCAGCTTGAGTAGGAACGAGCTTCCCAACCTTCTGGGTCTAAAGCCTATAGCACTATAGGCCCTTAACATCCCACACGAACCGGCCCACTTCTCCAGCCCCCCTCATCCCACCTCCTTGAGATGCATCAGGAAATCGCCTGCCGACAGCTCCGAACGTGGCCGCCGGCGGTCCTTCCCGAAACGCCCACCCTAAACCCTAAACCCTAAACCCGCCGAGGGCTTTGGAGCTTCGGTGCTCTCGGACACTCCAGGCGAGGCATGTGCTGTTCTGTTCAGAGATGAGAACAGCAAGAGGAAACACAGTGGATGGCTTTCACAATCCAAAACCCAAGAAATAAGATGCACTTCGGCTTGACAAGAAGGTGCTTGGCGAGTTGGAGTGCTGAGGATGCAGCTAGCATGCTCAACTGTGATCTCTGCAACTTCTCTGCAGTTGTTGCAACATGGCAGGGTCCCGCCGGTTGTGCCCAAAGGGCATCACGGCAGCCCTCGTAGCGTTCATGAGGTCCTGGCATTCGCACTCACCAGCAGGGCTCTGATAGAAAGCCCAGCAAATAAAGGGGCCTTAACACTTACGGTACTTATACTATTTTGGGGGTTCCTTTTTGAAACTATAGCATAATGGGCCCCAAAACCCTGGTTTAATTATGAAGGCCCCTATATTAGGGGTCACAGCAGGACTTCGCCCTCCCAGCCACAACCACAAAGCTCATGCATCCTTCGCCTGCGAAAAAGTTACAGGGAAGAGTGATTAGAGTTAGAAGCAGGGCATCCCGAAGCGCTAATCCCTAACCCTAAACCGCCTAAACCCTGAACCCTAACCCCTAAACCAACCCCAAGATGAAAGCCTAGCCCCTGAACCCTTACCCCGAAACCCTAACCCCTAAACCCTAGGCCTTAAACCGCCTAAACTCTGCACCCTAACCCCCAAACCTCAACAGCGAAACCTTAGCCCCTAAGCCCTAACCCCTAAAAACCCTCACCCCCAAAACCGGAAGCCGGTCCAGGAGGTTGCTCTCCTCCGGGCAAAGCTCGCGGAATCGGGCCTCCCGAGCATCGAGGGTCGAGGCATAAAATATGGGGGCCTTGAGAATTGCCTATACTATTTATTTTCCTTATTGTATTTTTAGTATAATGGGCCCCAAACCCTAGTCTAATTATGAAGGCCCCTATATTAACCCGTTCGTCGAATGTCGGGTTCACTTTCGACGCTCACACTCGCACAAGGCAGGCAAGGCTCCACATAGTCCACAGTATCTCCTCTACACTAGCCAGCAGCCCGCTCACAGCTTTCCAACCAAGCAAACAAAACGAAGTAACACATCACATAACAACACCGACATGTGAATCTGAATCTATGTGTTTCTGTCACTGGCTGCTGGGCAACGGGTTCATTTTAGGGTTTTGACACTCTTGGTACACTTCTCGTGTCATCCTTTCGCATTTAAGGGTTTAGGGTTTAGGGGTTTAAGATGGTTTTAAGGGGCTGAAACACTGGATTTGAATATGCGATTTGGACCCTAAACCCTAAACCCTAAACGGGGAGCAGACGGGCTTCACCAGCCCGGCCCCACCTTGATCTGGTGGTGGTTGCGGTTCTTCAGCCCCAGGCTCATGACCCAGAACTCACATCTTCGGTGCTCCTCACATCCGGGGCTGCAAAGTTTAGGGTTTAGTTTTTGTTGCTTTTTGCGGGCCCTTCTCCACCAGCCGAGTACGCCTCTAGAATTTTTAGGGTTTAGGGGTTTAGGGTTTCGGCGCTGCAGAGTAAGTGCTTCTTGATTTTGCAGGTGCCTGGTTAGTAGCGGTGGCAAACGCC